AACAACATAAAGACTCAAAATCCTATACCTAAAACTTAGATAAAATCAGTGAAACTAGGGATATATCAACTCCCCCAGACTTAGTTTTTGCTTGCCCTCAAGCAAAACACAAAAGCCAAACCCGTGGAAGAGGTTTTGAAAACAAAGGAACTCCCAACATTCTCTAGCCTATTGCCATGATCATCCAAACTAAGTCCATATGCCTAACAAGTATAATCAAATCCTAACCAACATGTACTTCTCTGCAAGCTTACTCAACATCCTAGATTTCATACCTAAGTTCCACAACTATATCCACCAGGCTTTCATCGCTGGGTCTCATCAAACAAGCTAACATTCAAGATCCTTCTAGACTCATTCCTGTACTATACCATAATAAATTGACCATTTTTTTATATATATTTTTTTCTTTGGTGTTCTTTCTCTTCCCAGATTTATTCTTTTTAGAGAGTAAATAAAGGGGAACTCGCATACTGGATCGACACCCTCAGCATTTTTCCAACCTTTGTAATTGATCATTCCAAATAATGTGTGAATAAGTGACCCAAATGCAAATTATCCTTAAGTATAGGAAGCCTCTGTTCAAGAAAGAAGGTCTTTGGTTTTGGGTTAGTCAAAGCTTAACACGTGAGGGCACACATGTGAACGACTAAAGAGATTGGCTAGACTGCTTATTGGCTTTGGTAGATTGTTACTTAAACCCTGCTCTGCTATGTTTCATGAACGAGAGTTGAGATTAGGAAGTGTTAGAGTTATGGGGGTCTCTATCACGAGAGTGGATTGACCCGATTTTTGAATCTATCGTCTAGGATATTTGCCTTTCACCTGTTAGCCACCTGATGAACACTAGAGTTGCCCTTATCAATGAATCCATCCTTAGGACTTCTATTCTTCTTAGATTTATTTGTGTTCACCCCATGTTTGCACTTTTATTTACCTGTTATTTGTGTCACCTGTTGATTGCATTTTAGTACTTAAATTTGTTGCCTGTCGGTTCTACTCGACCCAATGATCGAGTAGGGCTTTTCAGTTTTTATTTTTGTTGTTTGAATCCTGACCTAAGATTGTTACTAGAAACCAACCATCTCTATAATCTGGCTTGACTTAGTTGCTTCTGTACACATCTTGATTGCTAGCAATAACAGTGGATTGGATTGACACCCCCTATAGCTGCATCAACATGTTAGTGTTTAAGGGGAATTGAACTGAACACATCACACTTCAGCACATAAGTAGGCGTAAAAACCTACTTATCACCCTTAAAGGGATCAAGCCTTTCATAGTTCAAGTTACATAATAGGAGATCAGAGTACCGATCTTTTTTTTTTTCTTTTTCTTTTATTGCAAAAGTAAACTAGAGGCTAGTAATAATACTTCTTTAGGTGGACTACGTTCCACGGGTTTAGCACTTCCTCGAGCTTCATAGTCATGATTAGGTAGACCGTAGGATGAACCACCTTCGAGATCATGTGAGGCCCTTCCCAACGAGCTCCGAGTTTTCCGGCATTCTTCTCTTTTGTGTTACTGAAGACTTCGGGAAGGACGAAATCGCCCACATTGAAGCGGCGTTCTTTGACGTTTTGATTGTATGCCATCCAATTTGTTTGCCCAATTTCCCTTCTTTGGCCCGAGTCTTTTCTTGGTTTTCGCTATGATTATTTTATTCGTGGCTTCCGTTGGTCAATTTCCTTGAGGTCACTGATAAGGTTCAAATTACCCTAGAACTACTCTCTCAAATAAGAGATCAATTGCAGTATTTAAGGATCGAATTCACGAAGTTCTTTTGTTCAAACAATGAGTTCAATGTCAAGATTAAGCTGGTAGGTGATGAATGAAATAGTAGAGAACAAAGTAAGAAAACAGCAAGTTGATTTGGTTGTAAACGATTAAATAAAGAGCTAGGAACAGGTTATTCTTAGGAAACTATTGGTTAGTAGATCTAGTGAAAGCTAGGGTGTTATCGAACCATTCTTAAACTCAAACTCTAATTATGGAATAACCGGTGGCGTTCCGCGAAACTCCCTATTTCTATAGCTAAGAATAACCGGAGAAGCCGAGAAATTATCAACCTAAAAATGCATTCTTAAAGAGTTCGATTGTTCACCTTAGTAGATAGGCCGATTCTTATTACACACCTATAAACCAGCCTCACCAAATAATAGATCCAACTACAGATACCTATGGCGGGCATATCTATTGTCTGGATTCAAGGTCTAGTTAATTACTCTAGATCTAGCATTAAGCATAATTAAAGATGAAGAATCCTATAGATAACCTAGCAAGGGGGCAATCTACTAAATCATATGAATCCCTAATGAGAAACCCTATTCCTAACAAGCAGATTACTCAGACATATTGATTGAAGCAAACAACATTATTGAGTATGAAAGCATAAATACAACAAACACATTAAGGGAAAGAAGGGATCTCTTCATTGTATTAGGAATTGAATCAATCTCTGACAACAATCGATGAATAGGTTATGTCTCTCTTAAACAGGGTTTGCAAAAAGCTTGATAAAAACTTGATAAACAAAACTTAGGTTTAAACAATGTATATAAACCCTATAAAACATCTAAGGACTAATAATGTAAATAGAGAAGTCTTCTGGGACAAATTTCCTCTTCTGTAAACTTGAAAGCATCTGGGACTTTGCTGGGCCGAAACTAGTGTCGATCGAGACTAGTAGTGTGTCGATCGAGACTAGTAGTGTGTCGATCGACACTCCTCTTAATCTGGAACTGAAAATCTTCCTTAGCTTCCTTTTTCTTAGTTTTTGCTCCAAAATGTCTCCTCATCTCCATTGTTGTCCCAATGCATAGGATACCTGAAAAGACACTAAAAAGACTCGAGAAATAACATAAAGACTCAAAATCCTAACCCTAAGACGTAGATAAAATCAGTGAAAATAGGGATATATCAGATACCTCGGCGTTGAATTGCTAAGGCGTATATTCCACTTGGTGAGGAACTGCCTTATGATAAGCGAGACGAACCGATCTGTTATCCGTTAAGATCTCATAGGGAAGACCGTGTCGACATATGATATTTTCCATATAAACGCGACAACCTGCAGGGATTTCAATTCGTGGTAGGCCTCCGCTTCGACCCACTTAGTAAAGTAATCAGTTAGCACCAGCAAGTATTTCTTTGAACGTGAAGGGGGCAATGGTCCAACGATGTCCATGGCCCATTGCATAAAAAGGTACAACGCTGTCACATCACTAAACATTTTGGGCGACATATATTTCATCTAACCATGCCGCTGACATGGTTCGCAATTTACCTCATATGCTTCACAGTCTGCTAGCATAGTTGGCCAATAATAACCTTCTTTCTTAATCTTGAGTGCCAAAGCACGTCCACCAGAATGATTTCCAACATCTCTGTCATGTGTTTCCTTCATGATAACTATAGCTTCCTTTGTGTTCACCCTCATGAAGGATGTAGTTCGCGACTTTTGTCCTTAGATGTCAAGCCTCCCACCGATCTGCTTGTACTTCTCCATCAGCTATATAAAGTTTGATTGGATCCATCTAATCGGTTGGTTCTGAATCCAAAAAAAAGTTAAATGCAACACGAGGACTTCCCAGGAGGTCACCTCCTAGTACTACTCTCGTCATTATAGAGTTCTGATGGGATTCGGTCCCGTAGTGCTGGAATGATTGTATCTGTTAGTTCATGCAATGCAATCGTATTTATCCTTTTTGAAGACTCTAGGAACCATTCGCCGTTGGTCCAATCCGCTACCTAGGGATACCCCATCTAGTTTTAACGAGCTTTGATATATGAAAAATATTCAAAAACAATGTGCGAACAAAACATTTTGGGCCCGTAATATAGCATAGATCAAGGAAACACCCGAGAAAACCTATAGGGTAAAATTTGGAGTAAAACTAAAAAATGTACCTCGACCCATTGTCCTGCTGCTTTTGTTGGAGGCTCCCTTTGGGTTTTCTCAACAGGTATCACATGCCAAGTTTGGCCTCATCATCTAAAAGTTATAGTCATAAAGTTTTAACCAAAAAAAAACAAAGAGGAATGGAACAGGACGACTTCCCGAGAGGTCATCCATATTAGTACTACTCTCGCCCAAGAACTCTTAGATGCAGAGTTCTGATGGATAGTATGATCGTATTCGCTAGTTCATGCAATGCAATCATATTGATCCTTTTTTGAAAACTCTAGTAACCATTCGCTGTGGGTCCCACCCGCTACGTAAGGATACCCCATCTAGTTTTAACGATCTTTGATACATGAACATTATTCAAAAACAATGTCTGAACAAATAAGTTTTGACCCATAATATTGCACAGATCACAGATCAGACCCCAAAAGTACTTAAAGGTTAACATTTGGAGTAAAAAAAACAATGTACCTCAACCAATTGTACTGCTTCTTTCGTCGGAGGGCTCCCTTTCGACTTTCCGAAGAGGTATCACATGCCAAGTTTGGCCTCATGGTCTAAACGTTTTAGAGTCATACAGTTTAAACAAAAAATAAAATAAAATTGAGGAATGCAACACGAGGACTTCCCGGTAGGTCACCCATTCTAGTACTACTTTCACCCAAGAACGCTTTGTTGCGGAGTTCTAATGGGATCCGGTGCAATAGTTATTGTATGATTGTATCCATTGGTTCATGCAATTCAATCATATTTATCCTTTTTTTAAGACTATAGAAACCATTCGCCGTGGGTCTCACCCGCTACATAGGGATACCCCATCTAGTTTTAACGAGCTTTGATACATGAAAATGTTCAAAACAATGTCTAAACAAATAGTTTTGGACCCGTAATATAGCACAGATAACGGAAAAGACCCGAAACGTACCTAAAGGTCAAAACTTGGAGTAAAAAAACAATGGTACTCTTACCTACTATCCTGCTTCTTTCGTCAGAGGACTCTCTTTGGGCTTTCCAAAAAGGTATCACACGCCAAGTTTGGCATCATGGTCTAAAAGTTATAAAGTCATAAAGTCTTAACCAAAAAACAAAAAATGTGATGTAACACGAGGATTTCCCATCCTAGTATTACTCTCGTCCAAGCACGCTTAGCTGCGTAGTTTTGATGGGATCCGATGCACTAGTGCTAGTATGATCGCATCCATTAGTTCATGCAATGCAATCATATTTATCATTTTTGAAGACTCTTGGAACCATTTGCTGTGGGTTTCACCCGCTATGTAGGGATACCCCATCTAGTTTTAAGGAGCTTTGAAACATGAAAAATATTCAAAAAAATGTCCGAACAATCAATTTTGGTCCCTTAATACAACATAGATCAAGGAAAGACCCGAAAAAGTACGTAAAGGTCAAAATTTGGAGTAAAAAAGCAATGGTACCTTGACCCATTGTCTTGCTTCTTTCGTTAGACAGTTCTCTTTGTGATTTCTGAAAAGGTATCACATGCCAAGTTTGGCCTCATGGTCTAAAAATTATAGAGTCACACAGTTTTAACCAAAACAAAAGGAATGCAAAACGAGGACTTCCCGGGAAGTCACCCATCCTAGTACTAAGCTTACACAAGCAAAATTAGCTGCGAAGTTCTGAAGGGACTCGGTGCATTAGTGCTGGTATGATCGCATCTGTTAGTTCATGCAATGCAATTGTATTTATTCTTTTTTGAATACTCTAGGAACCATTCGAAGTGGGTCTCTCCCGCTATGTAGGGATACCCCATCTAATTTTAACGAATTTTGATACATGAAAAACTTAAAAATTAATGTCTGAATAAATAATGTTGGGCCCGTAATATACCACATATTACGGAAAGACCCGAAAATTACGTAAAATTAAGAAGTTGGAGTAAAATTAACAACAATGGTAGCTCAACCCATTTTTTTGATTCTTTTATCGGAGGGCTTTCTTTGGGCTTTCCGAAAACGTATTACATGCAAAGTTTGGCCTCATGGTGTCAAAGTAATAGAGTCATATAATCTTAACCAAATAAAAGAAAAGGGATGCAACATGAGGACTTCCCGAGAAGTCACCCATCCTAGTAGAACTCTCGTTTAAGCACGCTTAGCTGCGACTTTCTGATGCGACGTTTTGATCGCATATGTTGGTTCATGCAATGCAATCGTATTTATCCTTTTTTAAAGATACCCGATCTAATTTTAACGAGTTGTGATACAAGAAAGATATTCAGAAAAAATATTCAAACAAAATATTTTGGGCCGGTAATATAGCATAGATCATAGAAAAATCCGAAAAATTACCTAAAAGTCAAAATTTGGAGTAAAAAAAAAGAATGGTACCTCGACCCATTTTCCAGCTTCTTTCGTTGGAGGGTTCGCCCTTGTCTTTCCAAAAAGTATTACATGCCAGGTTTGGTCTCATGGTCTAAAAGATATAGAGTCATAAATTAACCAAAAGAAAAAAGAAGAGGGCCTCATGCCAAGTTTGGCCTCATGGTCTCAAGTACCACTCTCGCCAAAGCACGCTTAGCTGTGCAGTTCAGATAGGATCTGATGCATAAGTGCTGGTATGATCACATCCATTAGTTCATAAAATGCAATCGTGTTTATCCTTCTTTGTAGACTCTTGGAACCATTCAGCGTGGGTCCCATCTGCAATGTAGGGATACCCCATCTAGTTTTCACGAGCTTTGAAATATGAAAATTATTCAAAAAGAATGTCCAAACAAATAATTTTGGACTTGTAATATAGCACAGATCACAGACAGACCCGAAAAAGCACCTAAAGGTCAAAATTTGGAGTAAGAAAAAAAAATGTACCTCAACCCATTGTTCCTTATTTAGTCGGAGGGCTCCCTTTGGGCGTTGCGAAAATGTATCACATGCCAAGTTTGGCCTCATGGTCTTAAAGTTATAGAGTCATACAGTTTTAACCACAAAAATCATATATATGAAAGTTGGCAAACTCTCTTTATATGAATGACACATCATCACTTAGCTTTTGCTACATGTCCACTTAATAATTAAGGTAAGTTAATGGTTTATGGTAATTTATTATTTATTTATATATTTTATAAAAGTTTACATAATTAATTGTATCAAAAATAATTTTCTCTTATTTTGTATGTCTTTTTCTTAAATTAAATTATTTAATTGATTCTCATACTCTTGGATATTTTCCCCTAAATTTTATCATTTTAAGTCAAAATATGATTAAATAATTTTATAGTGGATTAGCTAATAGTTTCCATAGGTTGTTCTTTTTCTATATAATATATTAAATTCTTGGACTCAAATCCTCAGTTATAGAGTTTTTCAGTTATGAAATTCGTATTATTTTGTTTTGTTTTTGCAAAAGTGGCAACAATGAAAATTAAAAGAAGAAAATTATTTTACATTTATGTTTCAAAAAATTAATAAGGCTTATCAAGGTTTGGTTCTATTTGCCTATTTACTATAACTTAATAACCCTTTTTATCAATGCTTAATTTTCCTACTTAAATACTACCACCATGAATTTCAGAGCGGGTACTCCGATCTTCTTCGCATATTGTCTTTTTTTTTTTGGTTTAAGGTTGATACAAATGAAAACAATTCTGAAAATAATGTTTACTAAGAAAATATTTTGTTAGGAATTTAAATGCAAAATGCAAAAAAAAAAAAGATGATTTATGGAGCTTAGTATCAAACAGGAATTCTGTCTTCTTGCCTATTAAAAAACTAACCTAAATTTCATATTTAAATACTTTTAGATTACGAAATATAAAGTGAAAGCCCGCACGTGGTGCGGGTACTCATCTAGTAAAAATAAAAGAGCAATGCAACACGAGGACTTCCAGGGAGGTCACTTATCCTAGTACTACTCTCACAAAAGCACGCTTAGCTACGTAGTTCTGATAGGATTAGGTGCATTAGTGCTGGTATGATCGCATCCATTAGTTCATACAATGCAATCGTATTTATCCTTCTTTGAAGACTCTTGGAACCGTTCACCGTGGGTCCCATCCGCTATGTAGGGATATCCATCTAGTTTTAACGAGCTTTGATACAAGAAAATTATTCGAAAACAATGTTTGATCAAATAATTTTGGCCCGTAATATAGCACTGATCATGGAAAGACCTTAAAAAGTACCTAAAGGTCAAAATTTGGAGAAAAAATGAATGGTACTCATACCCATTGTCCTTCTTCTTTTGTAGGATGGCTCTCATTGGGCTTTCCGAAAAGGTATCAGATGCCAAGTTTGGCCTCATGGTCAAAAAGTTATAAAGTCATACAGTTTTAACCAAAAAGAAAAAAAGAGGGAAGCAACACAAGGACTTCCCGGGAGGTCACACATCCTACTACTAATCCCACCCAAGCACGGTTAGCTGTGAAGTTCTCATGGAATCTGGTGCATTAGTGATGGTGTGATCGCATCCGTTAGTGATGGTATGATCGCATCTGTTAGTTAATGCAATGCAATCTATTAATCATTTTTTGAAGACTATGGGAACCATTTGCAGTGGGTCCCACATGCTACGTAGGGATACCCCATCTAGTTTTAATTTGCTTTGATACATGAAAATTTTTCAAAAACAATGTCCGAACAAAATATTTTGGGCCTGTAATATAGTACAAATCACGGAAACACCCGAAAAGTACCTAAAAGTCAAAATTTTAAGTAAAAAAAAACAATGATACTTCGACCCATTGTCCTGCTTCTTTTGTCGGAGGGCTCTCTTTGGCCTTTCCAAAAAGGTATCTTATGCCAAGTTTGGCCTCATGGTCTTAAAGTTATAGAGTCATACAATTTTTTCCAAAAAAAAAAAGAGGGATGCAACACGAGGCGTTCTTGGGAGGACACCCATCCTAGTACTACTCTTGCCCAAGCACGCTTAGCTGTGCAGTTCTGATGGGATCTGGTGCATTAGTGCTGCTATGATCACATCCGTTAGTTCATGCAATAAAATCATATTTATCCTTTTTTGAAGACTTTTGGATCCATTCGCCGTGAGTTCCGCCGCTATATATGGATACCCCAACTAGTTTTAACGAGTTTTGATACATGAAAAATATTCAAAAACAATATCCGAACAAATAATTTAGGGCGGGTAATATACCACAGATCACGGACAGACCCAAAAAAAGTACCTAAAGGTACAAATTTGGAGTAAAAAAAAGAACAATGGTACCTCGACCCATTGGCCTGCTTCTTTCATCGGAGGGATCTCTTTGGGGTTTGCAAAAGGGTATCACATGCCAAGTTTGGCCTCATGGTCTAAACGATATAGAGTTATATCGTGTTAACCGGAAAAAAAAATGAGGGATGCAACACGAGGACTTCCTGAGAGGTCACCCATCCTAGTAATACTCTCGCCCAAGAACACTTAGCTGCGGAGTTCTGATGGGCTCGTAATATACCACAGATCACGGACACACCCCAAACAGTACCTAAAGGTCAAAATTTGGAGAAAAAAAAAATAGATGTACCTTGACCCATTGTCCTGCTTCTTTGGTTGGAAGGATCTCTTTGAGCTTTCCAAACGGTATCACATGGCAAGTTTGGCCTCATGGTCTAAAGGTTATAAAGTCTCAAAGTTTTAATCAAAAAGAAAAGAAAAGAGGGATGCAACACGAGGACTTTCTAGGAGGTCACCCATCCTAGTACTACTCTCCCCCAAGAATGCTTAGCTGCGAAGTTTTTATGGGATCTGGTGCATTAGTGCTAGTATGATCGCATCCGTTAGTTCATTCAATACAATAATATTTATTCTTTTTTGAAGACTCTACAAACCATTCACCGTGGGTTCCACCCGCTACGTAAGGATACCCCATCTAGTTTTGACGAGCTTTGATACCTGAAAAATATTTTAAAAAAATTTTCGAACAAATAATTTTGTGCCCCTAATATAGTAAAGGTCATGGAAAGACCTAAAAAGAGTACCTAAAGGTCAAAATTCGGGGTAAAAAAAAGAGAATGGTACTCTTACCCATTGTCTTGCTTCTTATATTGGATGGCTCTCATTGGGCTTTCCAAAAAGTTATCACATGTCATGTTTGGCCTCATGGTCTAAAAGTTATAGATTCATATAGTTTTAAAAAAAAAAGAGGGAAGCTGCACGAGGACTTCATAGGAGTCACCCATCCTAGTACTACTCTCACCCAAGCACGCTTAGCTGCGGAGTTCTAATGGGATCCGGTGCATTAGTGCTGGTATGATCGCATCCGTTAGTTCATGCAATGCAATCGTATTTATCTTTTTTGGAAAATTCTAGGAACCATTCGCCGTAGGTCCCATCCGCTACGTTGGTATACCCCATCTAGTCTTAACGAGCTTGAACACATGAAAAAAATTCAAACACAATGTCTAAATAAAATATTTTGGGCCTGTAATATAACACAGATAATGCAAAGACCCGGAAAATACCGAAAGGTCAAAATTTGGAGTTAAAAAAAACAATGATACCTCGACCCATTGTCTTGATTCTTTTGTTGGAGGGGTATCACACGGCAAGTTTGGCCTCATGGTCATAAAGTTATAAAGTCATACAGCTTTAACCAAAAAAAAAAAAAAGAGGGATGCAACACGAGGACTTCCCGGGAGGTCACCCACCTAAGTACTACTCTCGCCCAAGCACGCTTAGCTACAGAGTTCTCCTGGGACATGGTGCATTAATGCTGGTATGATCGCATCCGTTAGTTCATGCAATGCAATCGTATTTATCCTTTTTTGAAGACTTTAGGAACCATTCGTCGTGGGTCTCTTCCGCTACGTAAGGATACCTCATCTAATTTTAACGAATTTTTATAGATGAAAAACATTCAAAACAACGTCTTCACAAATAATTTTGGGCTGGTAATATAGCACAGATCATTTAAATACTAGAAAAAGTACCTAAAAGTCAAAATTTGGAATAAAAAAAAAACAATGATACCTCGACCCATTTTCCTGCTTCTTTCGTCGGAGGGTTCTCTTTGGGCTTTCCAAAAAGGTATCAAATGTCATGTTTTGCTTCATGGTCTACAAGTAATAGAGTCATATAATCTTAACCAAAAAAAAAAGGGATACAACACAAGGACTTCCTGGGAGGTCACCCATCCTAATACTACTATCGTTCAAGCACGCTTAGGTGCGACGTTCTCATGGAATCTGGTGCCTTAGTGCTGGTATAATCGCATCGGTTAGTTCATGCTGTGCAATTGTATTTATCCTTTTTTGAAGACTCTATGAACAATTTGTCGTGGCTCCCAGCCACTACATAGAGATACCCCACCTAGTTTTAACGAGGTTTGATACATCAAAAATATTTAAAAACAATGTTGGAACAAAATATTTTGGGCCCTTAATATAGCACAGATCACGGGAAAATCAGAAAAATTACCTAAACGTCAAAATTTGGAGTAAAAAAAAATGGTACCTCGACCCATTTTCCTGCTTCTTTCGTCGGACGGATCTCTTTGGGCTTTCCAAAAAGGTATTACATGCCAAGTTTGACCTCATGGTCTAAAAGTTATTGAGTTATACAATTTTAACCAAAAAAAAAGAGGGATACAACATGAGGATGTTCTGGGAGTTCAGTGATATGAGTCAAATTACCCTAATGACTACTCTCTCAAATACAGAGGTTGTTATAGCATTTAGGGATCGAATTCTATAAAGTTCTCGGATCATACAATAAACTAATAGTTTCGAATAAAGCTAAACAGAAAATATTATAAAAGTAAAAGACAAGAAAGCAATAAACAGATTGGTTGTAGATTAAGATTATTAAGGCGTCGGGTTTAGGAAAATTCTCAAAAAATATCAGAATAGTAGATCTAGCAGTAAATTATGAATATTATCGAACTATTCTAAAACACAAATCACTAATATAATGTAACTGGGGGTGTGCCGTGCTACTCACTATGCTTAATAGTATTGATCTCAACTCTCTTGTAAATCCCTAGAACTAAGCAAGCATTATAATCAAGTTTGATAAGTTCACCTAAGTAATCGACGCTAGCACGCATTTAAAGCTCATCTAAGATAGTTTCAGTAATAGATACCTATGGTGGGTAAACCTATTATCCTAAAATCAAGTTCTAGTTAGTTACTCTAAAACTAGCATTAAGAACAATCTAAGATGAAGAATTCTAAATATATTATCTTAACTGGGTTTTCGATCTACTAATTCATCCAAATCTCTAATTAAGAATCCCTAAACCAACCAAGAGAACTACTTAGACATGATTATGAAAGAACAAAACATGTATAAAGTAGAAATCAAAGTAAGAAACGATAAGAGAATAGAGTTTAGAAAGATCTTCTCAAAAGGGAGTCTCCACAAGGTTTTGGCTCCCAAAAACAAAAGAGAAAAGGAGAATAGCCTCTCCAAGCTTAGGGTCTAAACATTGACCTAAAAACTATATATATATGTCTTAAAAACGTGATGGGCCTTGATTAAAAATAGGAGATAGTTCTGAGCCGAATTTGGAAATCTTCAAAATATCAATAAATTTCGTCTTTGAAATGCCGTCAGGTATTGGTGTCGCTCGACCATGAAGACGGGCTTCGTGATATCTTCGACCAACTTGTGGTCATAAACGGCTATTGCAAATAATGCATATGAGCCTTTGAGAAGGTGCTCCACGGGAGATGCTAAAAGGTAGAACAATTTGAAGGAGATACGGTAACCACCTCTTGGAGATGGGGTCATAATGCCGTGACTTCCCAAACTAACAAAAGTTTGCAAATTATCCAAACAAATGATGGTCGCGTGATAGAGCTTGGTAATCAGAGGTAATGGGGAAAGAGAGTTGAAAAAGCGTCAGTAATCCCTACTCCATAGAGGCGGGATCATAATGTCGGACTTATTTACTCTAACAGGCGTATTGCATTGGGAGGAAAAAAGTCTTCCAACAAAAATCAATCGAAAAAATCTATCTAGTAGGTTTCGAGAATGATAATGACAAGACCAAGCTAAAACCATTGCTATTGAAACAAAAAGGTGTCCATTGCCTTCCGTGAACGAGTAGAATAGTTCTAGCATTAGACTAAGCAAGAGAAATGAGAGATCAAACCAGGACCAAAAAGAATAAGGGCTTAAGCCCATTAGTTTAAGCTTGGGCTGAGATAGGATTCGTCTTGGGCTTCAGGGAAAGAAGAAACTTCTTGGGCTAGGCCCATTAAGAGAGAGACAAAGCAACATTAGGTTTAGCTCCTTCTTCGTGTTGTTCAATGGCAACAGCGGCAGATTGGAGATGATGCTAAGAAGCCAAACCAGAAGAATAGTGACAAAAGCTAACCGAGTTGTAGCTGCTGCTGAACAAGATAAAACGTCTACTTTGGTTGATTGTTCCGCCGAACTAAGATTCATCGGTTCCAGCGACAACTCGAGCCTCTGGTTCCGCCACAACCGAGTAGAACACTTGATAAAGAATTCCATGACGAGGAGGATGGAGAAGCAGCTTGCGAGGAGGATGGAGAAGCAGCTTGCGAGGCGGAACGGTGAGTGACTCGATCTGCGAGAATCGCGAAAGGGTGAGAGCTAAGGGATCTGACGGCCAATGGAGATAAGAGTTCAGGTTCGTCGCCGGACAAGAGTTTGGATATTAGGGAGAGTTTCTGAAAGGAGTGAAAAGAAAACCAAAGCAAGAGATAGAACCATAAGGGAAGAAGCGTGAGAGAAGATCGATTAAAGAGAGAGAGATCCCAGCGCCGATGAGCAAGGGCTCTACCGGTGCCGGAAACCAATTGCGAAGGTCGTCTCTCGAGAAATGTGCCTGGGAGAAAATACATCTTTACTTTTTTTATACCTATATCATAGCTAAAAGTAGTAAAAATAGGGTTATATCACTTCTCAAAAGCAAAAACCACAGCTAACAATTCTTTCTCTGTTGTCGCATAATTCGTTGTGCATCATCAAGTGTTCTACTAGCATAGTGGATAACGTGAAGTTTATTGCCTTTCCTCTGTCTCAAAACAGCTCCAACTGCAGAATCGCTTGCATCATCACAAAAGGTAAATTCCAGTCCGTAGCTTGAACTATTGGAGCACTCACTAAGGCTTACTTAATCTGATTAAAAGCAGCATGAAACTCAGAATTGAAGTCAAACTTCACATCCTTACGAAGCAAAGCTGTTAGTGGCCCGACAATCTTACTGAAATCCTTGACAAACCTCCTGTAAAATCCAACATGTCCAAGAAATCTCTTCACAGATTTCACGCTATTTTGTGCATGTAAACTTGTCATAACCTCTATCTTGGCTTTATCAACCTCAATACCAGCAGCTGAAACTTTGTGACCAAGAACTATACCTACCATGAAATGACACTTCTCCCAATTAAGAACCAAATTCTTCTCTTCACATCTAGCCAGAACCTTGCAAAGGTTCTCCAAGCATGCTTCAAATGAAGACAGGTTGCCTGAAGTTTCAGCCCTATACTAGTTATAATCTCAGCTTTCCACCCCAAACTTTTTGGCACTTGAAAAACCACCAAAAAAAACTTTAAACTTGATAAACCTACATGTACTTTCGGATTTGTTCTTAAAATTACGGTTCCAATTGAACCGATCAAACAACCGATTGAAATTCCTCCGGTTTGACTTTTCCAGAAATTCGATTTTGACTCTATTTTAACCCAATTTTGACCCAAAAAATATTTTCTCTAAAACAAAACTTTTTTTTTTATTATTTTTTTATTAAAACTTAAAAATAATAAATAAATAAATTTTACCAAATAATAATATAACAAAATATAC